ATCTAATAACTAAGATTTAATTGCTACTTTAAATATAAGAGTTTGGAGTGTTTAAGAACAGTGTCCTCTTTAAAGACACTGAGTCTAAAGATTTTGTTACCCAAACACAATTAATATTTGCTGTCTTGGTATTATGAGATACCAGCCTGTAATGGAAGCTTTACATTTACAGAAGATGGGTCAGAAACTGTGTGAGAGAAAAGGCAGTTGAAGGTATGTCAACCTGAAACCTAGACAAAATTCAAAGAGATAAGGGTAGTTTCCTTTGCTAAAATTACACAACTGCCTCTGACATTTATTAAAGAATTTTTTTTGCAAAAAATGTGTTGGTCTAATAAAAGATATCATCTGTACTACAAGCTCTGACATTTCTGTGACTTTCACATTCATGTGTTAACAAAAACATTTCTCTGCATCTTAGTGTGTGAAACACCCACATAAATAAAGGGAAACTACATATATAACACAGGCTGGCAACAGACTTAAAAATAGTTTAGGTAATCTTCAGTATCACAATTTAAAAAAAATCAGATAAGATATTTTCAAAATTAAATTCAATGTTTAAAGTACTCGTGTAAGTTTAATAATAAAGCCTTTTCGTACATTAGGTCCATCCCTCCCCAAAATGTCATCTTACAAAAATTCTGGAGACTATTTATATTCAGTAGACTGCATGGCTGACAACACAAAGATATATGGTATTATATCAAACAGCTTTTTAGAAATAATTAAAACTATAGCTAAGGTGACAGTGTTTTTCCTTTGTAACTTGTTTTGAAGCACTCCTATCTTTCTGAGAACTACAGCTTCAAGCTTGCTTCTCAAAAAGCTTGTTTTTGGAGAGGAGAAAATTATAACAGAATTTTGAATACAAGGAGAGACGCTAGATGCCATTCATACAGTTAATGTTTAAGGAAGAACTACATTCCAACACCCTTCAATTAAATGCATGCTACAGGTAGTGGTGCACTGTAGATAGCACAAAAGAGGTTAAATCCTGTAAATTCAGTAAGCCTTTGCATCCTTATATTCTATTGAAAATTAAAATTAAACTTAATGAAAATCTTCATAATAGAGATCACCCAACAGAAAATAAAACATAAGGAAAAAAAATGTTGCTTCCTCTTATCAAGCATCTTGGCTCCATGGTTTACTTTAATATGTAGAATTTTTTGTTAGCACCCCCCCCCCAAAAAAACCCAGCCCAAAATATTTCAGTGACACCAGAAAGCAGCATAATGTCACATCTATTTCCATGCCAACTGCTATCACCAAATTCTGAACATGCACACCAACCTCGTTGTTACAACAGCAGCTGAGACCTATTTAGAACAGTATGACTACTAGCAAATTACTACATTAAAACTTCCTGATGCTTTATACAAGGGATGACTGTCACCAAAGGGGTTTTATCTGGTGTTAAACCACCAGCCATTTGCATAGGAAGCTAGAGGTATTAATTGCGAAAATGTAAGATTTTGTTTTTTGCTTTGCAAAAGGATTTGGTGCAGGGGTTCCTAAACACTAAAGAAGAAGTAGGTACACCATGAGACCCTCTACTGGTCCATACCATAGAACTGCACACGCAGATCTCAACAGCAGGAAGAGTTGCTACAACAAAAATAATATGCAGCCACACTCATACTATTTAACCTAATTCTGATGCTTAAAGAGTTATCTACAGTTGCTTTCTTTGTTTAAACCTACAACATTTACTTAGGAGTCTCCTGTGGTTCAGTGGTAGAATCCTTGCCTACCACACAGGTTCCCAGACGCATACAACTACAGCCATGGAGGCACCAAACATCTGGACTCAGTCTGGTCTTTGGATTCTGTCTCAGTTGCCTAAAGAGAGGATGGAAGGTCTGGGCAGCCTCCACTCAAAACTTCTTGTCCAGGCATATGTATTGAAGGTCTGGGTGGCCCTCATGCATACACCATGAACTGGGAGGATCAATGGTTGCCATAACATTTACTTACTTGTAGCATTATTAGAATTTTTTTTTTTTTTTGAGTCTGAAGTGTGTCAAAACAAAACAAAAAGTACACTAAAATGCCTCTTACTGATTTTAATTTGTTCTTGTGTCAACCAGGAAATGAAAGCTTGGCATGTTACTTTTATTTTCCCCAAGATGATCCTTTATGGCAAGTTGAACATGTCAGCATTCGCAATGGTGAGTATACTACTAAAAATATGAAGCTTATGAACAAAAAATATGAATGCCTACCATTCCAAACAAGGTTTAAGAATATATAGGAATGCTTTAAAACTGTCAGGCAGAATAAGCAGCCAGAGAAAAACAAGTAAATATCAAAATACAATATAAAAAATATTTTTGAAATCTTGTTTTAATGAGACAACACTGCAAGATACTATAAAACCAAAATATAAAATTGTCAGATTTTCAAGGTTCCACTCTTAATAGAAATACTTTCAGTTAAATTATTGAACTATTTTCTTGCAGTATTGAACCAATTATCCCATCAGACAAAACTAAGAATTAAACTAAGCAGTCATTTTGCATTCCTCAGAATTAGCAATGTGAAACAAACTGTACAAATACAAAAAAAGCTGAAATACAACGGTAATACCCAATACAATTGTTTTAAATCCTTACAGCCAGGTACAGATGCTTAGTTTCTACTGGGAGGAATGCCATTGTCCCAGCAGAAACCCCAAATATATCCAGGGTTTTTGTCCCGGAGCAAAAATGGCCTCTGCAGGAAAAAAAACAAAACAAAACAACCTGGCAACAAGCAGGATTAAACTGCTCCCAGGAGACTGAATGCTTATACACTTTCACCCAGAATACTTCATGGAGGCCAGGAGAAGTGAAGCTGTGGAAAGGCTCCCAGAGCAGTTGAGGGCTCCTTCCCTCTCCCTGATGATGGGTTTTTAAACCCGAAAGCTTGCTAAGAACTTTTTCTCCCCCAACTATTTAAGTTGGTCTAATAAAAGATATCAGATTCACCCAAACAACCTTGTCTGCCTTCCCTCTCCATGCATTCCTCCAGGTCAACCTGAATGAGTGCGAGGGGCAGGACCATTCTGTCATGGGAACCCTCTTTCCTGCCAAATAGCTGACTGGTACAGGGGTATTCTCCCACCGTAGAAACCCTCCCCAACTGTCTGTAGCAGCTGCTGCTTTTCAACTGCTGCCTGTTGCCACTTGATAACCTGCCCCCTTCCCAGGCAGGAAGAGGGTAGGCTGTCAATTATGGGCTCCCCTAAGGGCAGGGTGGGGGCCAGGTTACAGCCCTCTACGGATCCCTGGCTAAACAGCTTGCCTGTGAAGCTCTCCAGTCATGGGGCTAGTGGAGTGGTTCTCAGCCTTTTTAGAATCAAGACACCTCTTGTTAGACTCATGACATGGCTTGGAAAACGCCAGCTCTTAAGTTTTCGCTCATTATTCGACTACAGAGAAGTAACAAAACAATTCTTTTGCTGCAGAGAGCTTAGAAAGAATGCAACACCAGAACGTTTTTAACACTTCAAATTCCCATTTAAGATCTCTGGATTTATCTGATGAATCCTGTTTACACACCTAACAGTGCTGACATAGCATGGTACGCTGCTGAGCCCTCAAAAGGCTCTCAAAGACACCTCAGTTCAAATCACTGGGCCAGAGAAGGATTTGTACAGTCCCGCTCCCAGGCTGTTTCTCTACGGGAAGAAATTTCTTCTAATAGAAACGAACATCTGTACAAAGCCCAAATCGACTCTGATGCTGTTCATACACACACAGCAATATAGCACAGGGGTTTTCAACCTTTTTGAATAAGTGTACCACTGGCAGCAGGGCACGGAGCAGAGGGGACGTGCGGCCACACGTGAAGTGGCCGCAGCCACCATGTGTGAGCTTCCCCCATCGCCGGTGTCTGGCTGGCCAGGTGGTGCCTGTGCAGCAGAGCAGGATGGTGCGTGGCAGCACTACGTCCCTGCCCACCCCCACATACACTGCAGGGCCTTCTTAAGTACCCCCAGGGGTACATGTACAACCCCACTATAGCAGTAACACTGACCCAATCCTACAGACTTTGGTTCATCCCACAATAGACATTCTGATGAATTTCTGCATCTAGCTGCTAGCATATGGGAGCACAGAGGAAAAAACAACTGATTTTTACTGTCTGCATACCACACCCTTGGGAGTATTAAGTCACAACAAGAGCAAAGATGGATACAAATTAATTAATCAACAATTTACTAGTCACTGAATACCTCTTAAGTGCAAATAATCAATCTAGAGTTTCTAACAAAAATGCTTCCACATACTGCATTTTTGTAGTGATATGACACAAGCTATATAGCATTTAAACCACGTACCAGACAAAGGCTGGGAGGTAATGGCTGCGCAGTAGTTAAGCACACTTTAGAGAAAAGATCACTTCCCACTCAGGAAATTTGTTTCTCTTTTTTTCAGAGCCAAACACACCAGCCCCAAGGAATGGCTTCCTGAATTAACCCGGCAGCATTTTCACATTCAGTGCTGTAACACAGGCGGGGGGAGGAATCGGAGGCAACCAGGCTTCTCAAGAACTAAAGCGCTAAGACAGGGAGCATTAAGTCCTACAGGATAAGTTTATAATCATTGCAGAACCACACAGTACCGGGGCTTGAGGGGACTGCCACAGGTCATTTAGGGACTTCGACTGGTGGGACTGGGACTGGACAGCATCCCGCAAAGCAGCTGCTATGCAAGGGGGCATAGCCGGAGGCTGCAGCCCCATGAAGTAAAAGGTCGGTATGAGGACAGAGCACCTCTTCTGCATCCCACCGCGGAGCAAGCTCGGCAGCCGGGCGCTTGAAGGAGGGACTGACAGGCGAGAGCAGTGGCTCTCACCCATCTGAGGCTCAGACAACCCCGGTTCTTCGTTTCCACTCCCCCGCAAGCCGCTGCCGCCCGGGAGCGACGGGCCCGAGGGCAGCGCGAGCCCGGGGGGCTACACCTTGCAGATCGACCCGAGCAGTCACCGCTGCCCGCGCGCGGGGCTCCCACCTGCTGGTCACAGTCCGGGCAGGACTTCGTGGCCATCTTCACTTTCTTGGCCCGGCTCGAGGACATGCTCCCGACCCCGGGGGACGAGCCGCAGCTCAGGCGGCCGCAGGAACACGCGATACCCCGCCCAGCTGCAGCCCGCGACACGTACAAAGGGGCGCGCTTGCGTCACAGCCGCGGCGAGGCTCCGCCCCCCGCCCCGCCATACCATTGGCTGAGCACCTCAACGGCGCGTGCTCGGAACTGCCGCTCGGCCTCGCCCTCTTCCCAGTAACGGCCGCTCTGTGGCATGTGGGGGCGGCTTCTTGTGGTCATGCTCTAGGGTTGCTCCTGCCTGGCTGCGGGCTCGTGGCACAAGCATTTTCCTCGTCCCTAGCTGCAGCTGCCGCCGGGGAGCCCGGGGCCTGTCCTGCTGCTGGGCGAGGTGCTCGTGGCGCAGTGCAGGCTCCAGTCCGCCCCGTGTTCCTCCCCAGTGTCTGAAAGTGAGTTCCTGTCCCGCCAGGAACAGCCTGAGAGACCTCAGGGGCAGGGTTTATGTAATCGTTTTTCATCTGTTTCTTATTCTAGTCCATTTTCACTCATTCTCGAGCCCTGCTCTCCTCGGCGTGCCATTGTGTGCTTAACATTTCAACAGAGAAGCCCCATCCGTTCTCTTCCAACTGTTGTGCATGGCGGCTGTAACGAAACACCTGGCGCAAGTTGGGAGAAGCGTTTATTGTACCTGGCTCCGTACCCTCCCTCAGTGCCACTCCCACCCGCACACAGCAGAGTCTGAACCATTGGCGACGCGTCGAGGGTGCATGTGCACCCCTGGTGCCTGTGGGCGGTCGTTGCTCGACATCCCACCCCCTCACCACTGGTCTGTGGGGGGTCCCCAGTTGCTGCCGGCAGCGTCTGCGGGTGGTTACTGACTGCTGGTCGGCACTCACCCTCTGCCGACACCGCTGCGGCCTCCTGCAGGAGCTCCCTGCTTCCCCCTGCCGCCTACGGGAGCTCGCTGTGCCCCACCAGCCTCCTGGGGCACATGGTGTTCATGGCCTAAACAGATTGAGAATGGATCTGGGAAGATGCAACTTCCTCATGCAATCATGTGGCTTGTATGCATGTGTGTTTGTCAGAAGCAAACCATGGATCACCTGAAATGCCTGCTAGCACCGCCACATGCCTCAAGATCTGGCAACACCAACACCAGAAGCAGTGAATATATTGAGTATATTCCCTTATCCCTGCTCTGCTTTCTGCAACGGCAACACGGGGGCTTTACCAGGGCAATTGAGGTTGGCCTCCTGTGCTGGAAATAATGGCTGAACATTAATCTCTGGTGGAAATAATTGTCACATATTGCTACAATTTCCTACCCCACTTTCACAGAACACTAGGGTTGGAAGAGACCTCATAAGGTCATCAAGTCCAGTCCTAAAGGAAGAGGCTAAGACTCCAGTGAGGTTTGAACTCACGACCCCTGATTTACAAGACCAGTGCTCTAACCACTGAGCTATGGAGCCAGTTTTTCTTACTTTTACACTATTTATTCCATAATATAAACTAACTGGGGTACAGTGAATTATTATTCTTTCCAAAGAGCGTTTCTAAAACAATGTGATATTCTAATTTAAATGTTTATTTCCAATTGCAAAGCCTACTTGATGACATTGTTCCTAAATGAAAGCTGCACGTTGAATTGTAAAGGTTTCTTTACAGAAAATGTTTAGGGATGAGTCATTTGTCTCTGAAGGAAGAAGAAGTGGGTGATAATGATAGTGCTGAAAACATTAGCTCGAAACTTGGATGACTTCTGTATATATTGCAAAGTATATAATGAAGAAAGGAGGAAAGTCCCTGTGGAAAGTCTGCATCAAATATGACTGTTTAAAACAGCCTGCAGTAGAGCTGCCAACTGTATTTTACAGCTATACTGGGACTAATACTTCCATCTGGGTGGCAATCTATGTAATGTAAGGCTGCTTCTGGGCACAATCTAACACGGGATTTTTGATCTAATATCTATTTTGGACTTGAACACCCCTTGCTTTGCTCAGTAAATGAGGAAAATGTGAGGATTGCAAGGTGATATTACTGAAATACTTCCCTGTATTTCTCCTTCAGGCAGCTAAGCCTAGAAGCATTTTGGCGGATATGTTTTTAGAAAGCTGATATTTTGGAGGAATTTTTTTTAACTGTTCCTTTAAGTATTCATTGGTGAGTTGGTTGATGCAATCATCTGGTATATGCTTGAAGGCACATATACTGAAAGTGAGGTATTTTTTCATCTAGCAGACAGTACAGACTTCCAGTGCTCTTTCGCCAAACACACACTTGGCAACCAAAATAATTCACCGTTATTCCTTCAGCCAAATGCAAACAGAAAATGACTAGAGCTTCTGTTAGCCCCTCATAAAGGATATTTTTTTCTCAGTGTACAGGTCTAACATTCCATCTCTTTGCTTTTGGGGGGGGGGTCCCCCACAATTAGTTTTGGGAATCAGTAATTCTGCTTCCAGTATTGCTGCCAGCTAAATTTATCCACGGTGCCACTTCAGATGACATACTAATCCTAAGCAGTAGAAGGTTAGCAACAGCTGCAGGGCTTCTGGCATTTTTTGTGCTGGGATAGGAAAGGAGGGGAAAAAAAGAGAGAGATTTAAATTTTGTCTAGATGTGGATATAGGGAATTTAGAGTACTTAAGACTCTTGAGTTCAGAACTAGGAATCTCTTGGGCTCCAATTCCAGCAGCAAACTTTGCAATTTTGGGCAAATCATTGGCAACTTTTTGCCTGAATATATCCATCTGTGATAATGGGGATCATGAATGCCATGTGCCCCTGGAGGCTGGAGTGGGGCACAGCCAACTCCTGCAGGCAGCAGCGGTGCTGTTGGTGGAGGGGGTGGCAAGCACCGACCAGCAGTCAGAGACCACCCACAGATGTCACCAGCAGCCAGCAGCGATCACGGACTGCTCACAGACACCGCCAGTGGTGTCAGCGGTGATGGGGGGAGGGTGGCAAACAGCAACCACCCACAAGTGCTGCCAGCAGTGTCTGTGGCACCTTTTTGCAGGGGGCGCACTGCTATGGTCGGGGTGCATGTGCACCCGCATGAATCCCCTACACATTGCCAGTGATGGGGATGCTACAAAGAGGCATGTCATGAATTTATTGTTTACATATTAAAAATCTTAAGAATTACTACTAAGAAAAAAGGAATGACAGCACTATTGTTGGAGGCAAGAGGACTAAATTTTTGCAGGTGACATTTGTGAATATGTTCTCAAGTTAAAGAAAGAACACATATGCTTGAGGTTGTTGGCAACACAATTTTTTCATTATGGAGTTCTTAGTGGTAGATTTAAGATGACTGCATACTTAATGGAGACTAAAAGTTGACATTCTCTCTCATGACAGGTTACATAGAATATAAAGGCATAATGGGTGCTTATACATGTGCAGTGAAGCTGCTCCAACACATTGTGATTACAGCGCATCAGAGCAGACTCAGTTAATCGAGTCTGCTGTGTTGCACTTAGAAACTGAATTTCTAAACCTAGTGATTTAAGAATTGACACAACGCTCAGTTGATTAATAGCAGAAAGACTTGGTTTAGTAACTGCCAACAAGCTATCAAACTAAAGGATAGAAAAACAAAAATTTTTTTCTTAATATTCAATAAATGAGCTATTACAGTCCTTGTATTATTTTAGCTGCAAGAGATTTTTACCCAGGCAGGAAGGAGGCAGTTCTTGTACAGCTTCCCAGAGTGTGGGTCCTTTACTCATGGCCTGGATGCAGGATGGCTTCTTGATCTTCCCTGGATTGCACGCCTTGCTGGCAGTTCTGTCTTGCTTTTTATTCTGTTTTAATTGTATAGCTTCAAAGCATTCCTTCTTGATAGTTGATTATCAAAGTCTGAACAGAACAGGCAAGATTAACATATTACAATTGTATCTTGTTTGTGTGTTTGTGAAGTTTGCAAGCTTTTGATCAGTTTGGAATCAAATGGGATGGGTACTGATTGAATGAGGTACCTTTAGGAAGTTAATCACAGAATACTATCTTTCAGTAGTTATTTTAACAATGGAGCCTAATAAAATAGCTGCGTCAAATGGCATATGGAGATAGTGAAGACCAGAGGCCATTGGATACAACAGGTGTGAGTTTCAGAAGAATACACTGGTTCAGCATAATAAACGTTTAGAGATTCACTGCCTATTTTGAGAAATATGCTTTAATTTATGAATGTGAATGTGAGGCAGTTAGGATCAGAGGCCACTGGGGACAATAGGTGTGAAGTAGGTAGATTAGACTGATTTAGAAAACTTTAGACAGATATTGGATGTTTGTTTTGGGAAATATGCCTTAATCAAAGGGGAAATGTGTTAACCAGAATATATTTACAGTCATGTTTTCAGTGCACCTCGCTCCTTGTCTCCTACAGGCTTTGCTTTGAAGTGGATATTTTAGTTCTTTCAGTTCCTTCAGTGACACTTAGATCAATTGAGATGTATATGAAGTTTGTAGGTTCTCTCTAGGCCATTTGGTTTTCTAGGTTGTTCTTGGAGTCTTGTTATATAGATATAATGAGTGTGTCAGGTCTCTGCCAATAATTTTAACCATAACTTTTATTTTTTAGGCTCAGGTGTGGTAGAAGGTTGAGGACTATTATCATGACTGTTATCATTTTATGGCATGGGTCTGGTATTGGGTACTGCAAGCTCCAGTGGGTTGCAGCCATCAACAGAGTTTGACTCTTCTTGTGGCAGGCTTGTTACCACAATCCCAGCCCCAGCCACTGTCTTGCTTTGCCCCAGCCCCATACATTGCCCCAGCCACTGTTTTGCATTTTTATGCAAGAAGCACTGTCATGCTGTATTTCATGTCCAAGCTTTCATAGTCATTATGCTGGAGGTAATTACCACACTCCAGCAGACTCCAGTGTCTCTTGTATTAGTGTCCCCACACTGAGAAATGGTGGCAGGGGTGTTTTAACTAAAGCTTGTTCAAGCTTTAATTAAAGCACCTCTGCTGCCATTTTTCAGTGCAGGGATACTGATACATAAGACGCTCCAGGCGCTTTAATGAGGGCCACTCAGAGCTGCACTAATTAAAGCACCCCCCCAAGCATGTGTATAAATGCCCAAAATGTTTATTTATTCT